TTAATTACTATGGAATCCTAGTATGAGACCTTTTTGTAGAAAACATGACAAACATTTTTTGTTTAAAACTTTTTTATAACACGACAATTTTAAAGAGAATCGTTTACAAATTTCTTTTTTAATATGTTTTTTCAATATAGCAACCAAAATATGAGTGATCACCATTTTGTACTGTCACATTCGCAATCAAGAGACTAAATTATATAAGAAATGAATAATAATTTTTTGTTATGAGGACGTAGCTCATCCGAAGATTTATCGGACAATTTATTGATACAAAATATTGGCCTAATATTTCCATACATTCCTAATAGATGTTTACCATTTGTACAAATTGACAACATACAAGTGTCATTGTATCTTTGTTAGGATAATTGTTTTTAATAGTTGTGAGTTTAGCCTCTTCACTTTCGATTTTGATAAAAGTAGTCTCATTCGACGCGATTTTTTTGCACGAAATGAATGAATCTGATAAAAGAAGTGTCGCTCTGCCTCGCGAACCGAAATATTAATTGTTAAAGTTATTCAGGTTAGGAAATCTGTTACATCGACGGTATAAAGAGTTGCACAAATTCTCTGCTTTATAAACACAAATTCTCTGCTTTATAAACACAAATTCTCTGCTTCAAAAACTCAAATTCTCCGCTTTAAAAATACAAATTTTCTTCTTTAAAAATACAAATTATTTTCTATATAATTTTTATTTTTGCAGTAGAGATTTGTTCTTAAAGCGGAGAATTTATGTAATTGAAGCAGAAAATACTTTTTCTCACATCCCTCTATATGCCATTGATGGGACAGATTTCTTAACCTGAATAATTGTCAACTTTAACGATTGATACCTCGGTCCATGGGATAGAGCGACACATTTTTTAATCAGATTCGGTCATTTCGTGCAAAAATGCGTCGAATCAGTCTAATTTTATCAACATCGGAGATGAAGGATAATTTATGTTTTTAAAACAGAGATTTGTTTTTAAAGCAGAGAATTTGTATAATTATGAAACAAAAAATCTTATTCTAGTCTCACTTACATGAGGTATATTTTTTATTGCTGCACTCTGAACCAATGCAATAAAATAAAGTGAAATAAACATATATGTTTCACTTTAACTTATTACTTTAACTTGTGTGTACCAGTTTAGAAAGTGTAGCAATAAAAAATAGACATATGATCTCTTGGCCTTCTATAAGACATTTTCTCAAAAAGTGGAGAGGGTAATGTTGGTATCAATGAAAATCTCTAGACACTACAATTAAATTTTCCATGGATTGGTTACATTACGTAAGTAGCAAAAAATTTGTCAGTTTTTCGGGGAAACTTTTTTGACATATGTGATTCTCTGCTTTAAAAATACAAATTATTTTCTATATAATTTTTACTCCTTGCATAATACTATTACATAATTTTTGTATAATATCATTATATACTTTTTGTTTTTACAACAGAGAATTGGTTTTGATTATGGCATTTGTTTGCTTTAAAAACAAATTCTCTATTATAAAAATGAAAATTATATAGAAAATAATTTATGCTTTTAAAGCAGAAGAAAAATCACATATGAGCAGAGTGGGCATTTATTAAACATAACATATTACATAACATATACATGATTTTTGTATGTATAATATTATCACGTTTTATCATATTATATACGTATTATACATATGTATTATACATGTAATGGAATTCTATAATAAGCCATTAATCATAAATCAGAAGTCAAAAGCTAAAAATTGACGATTGTGATTGGTCAATTTTTAGTTTCTGATTTTTGATTTATGACTATATCAAAAACTCGCAACTCTCAATTGCTCAACTCTGTATGACTATTCATACACTGCTAGCAATCTATAGAAATTAAAATTGTCGTTTAGAGATTTTCGTTTGTATCAACGTTATCCCTTCCACTTTTCAAGAAAATAATCTAATCCCCTCTATGCCATCAATATGACAGATTTTCTAATCTGCTGAATTTCATCAACTTTAATGCTGATTTCACAATGAGTCTGTAGTGAAATAGCTTAATCAGTGAAGTTGGCCAATCAACGTTAATCGTTACTATCTTTGGAGGCCATTAAGCTAAGAAGAACGTTAGTCGTACAAGTTGACTACTAGTCGATTTCCCTGCTAAGACTTAGGACTACAGACTCATTATAAAATCAGTATAACAATATCTCGGTTCGCGAGGCAAAGCGATTTTTTTTTTGCTAGATTCGTTCACTTCGTGCAAAAAAATATGTCGAATGAAACTTAATCAAAATCGGAGGTGAGGAGGTTAAACTCAACAATTATCCTTTGTTACTCACTAAAATAGCAAGAAAGATAGAATGATATTAATAATTTATGTCGACTTGTGTCGACTGATTGGAAGCATCGAATGTTGAAACAATATTAAATCAATTTCGTCAATGAATTGTGGTATTCGGAGCTGGTTCAGAATTCTTCAACAAAGACTCATTGTTTTACATTCTTACCTCCTTGATAATATATTGAATGTCATTGTTAATAGGCCACTGGTTCCTGCAAGCACTTAACGTTACTTAAAGATACACTCAGCTAGCGAAATGGAGATTGACGCGCAATACTCACTTAGTCTTCTTACTCATCCACCTTCTGCTACGGTTCCTTAATATCCAGATGAGCGTGCTGACCGCGACCGCGCCGGCCAGGGTGCGTCTGGTGGCGAATTTACTGAGGGACGGTGCCATTTCGGTGCACTCGGTGTCGACAATCGAGAGTCGAGCTCGCGTACATGCGTTACCAGCTGCACCGTCCTGGCAGCCCTGGCGCGACGGTTGAACTATCGCGTGTAGACTTTCGAGCATAAAGTCAGGTTAGCCAGGACGAGAGTGGATGAGTCAGATGCCGTCACGCCGTGCCGAGATGGTGGTGGTAGCAACGATTGAGTGGGAGATTTAAGATGGAGAGGAGGAGAAAGAGAGAGGCACGGACGAGGAGCTGTCTTCTGTCGATGTCGACAATTGACTCAATCAGCGGCATTCTGCGTGGACTTTCTGCGATCGCGTAATAGTAGAGTATATATATATATATCTCTCTATTGTATGTAATAACGGAGATGAAACATATATTCGTGTCGTATATGCCAGCTTTTTCTTCCCCTTCCTCAGTCCACAAATCTGCGGATGTACTGTGTAATCGGCGCGTTTCTTCTTTTTCTCTTTCCTTGCACCGCGCGCCACGCTGGATGCCGGCAGCAAAAGTACAAAATACAATATGCACTCCAAACCACTTTCAAGATTGCAAACATCCGCTGTGTATTCGAACATGTTAGACAGCTAGAAGCTACTGTTGCGCAGTGATATGTTCGAAAATCCCGAGGTGGGATGGGGATATCCCAAGGGTGAAATGCGAGACGAATTGATTCTAAACTGGCGTATACATTTTCTATACATTTATGTAGAATTTCTTAATTATCAAGAAATAAAAACTGAAATTATAATGCTGCAGAAAAGGTTTTTGATTAAAAAATAAGAAACAGAAAAAATAATAAAAAAACTTAACACATTATCAGTGAAAAATGTAAAAAAGCTTATCAGAGTCTACATCAGTTATTTGGATGCATAAAAATTCTTTATTTTTCATGTGTAAATGTAACAAAACAAATAAAATATACGTTCCAACCTTCAATTTGGAGTCCTTATCAATATAAAATATAAATCGAAATTACATAATTAACGCACATTTCAAGTTGATGAGTTTAAATACCACCTTTTCATTATAGAGTACGTCACTTAAAAAAAAAGTTAATAAGTCATCTTCCGCTTAATATTTGTAACAGATTTTTTAGCACACAACACAAGGTTTTTTAATAGATTTTTAAAGAATGAATCTCGGAGAGATTAAACAAAAAATTATGGTTACAAAAAATAAATGGTTGTGACAAAAAGAAAATAAAGGATAGTTATTACGTAGTAGACAATATTGCGGAGACTAAATTACCTAACGTTGTTAGCAGCAATTCTCATAAAAAATTTCAGTTCCAAAAACCGAAGAATAATAACATAAATAATAAAACGATTAAAGTAAATCTTTCTGCTTCCCAATTTAAACACATTTCATATGACATCTTTGAAGTAAATGACAAATGGTTCAAAAATCTTAGCAATGCTATTATACCATGGAAAGTCAAAGCATTGTTACAATTGGGTGAGAATTTCTGCTTGCCAACGTTTAACATTGGAAACACTATGATTATAAAACATATCGAACATAATTTTGTTAGATTAAAATTATCAAACATTAAGGAATTTAGGAACAGAATTTTTTCTTTAATCAAAAGGATAAAGCAAGCATGTGCTAATAAAACTGACGTAGAGAAAAGAATTTTTTCTTTGATTAAGACAACGAAAGCATTTGTTAAAAACAATCCACATATTATTTTTACAAGGGCGGATAAGGGTAATGGCAGTAGTAGTGGGCACTTGACAAGACGGAATATGTACAAAAAATGGAAACTTTACTGTCTAATACTGAGACTTATAAGTTATTGACACATAATCCAGTTAATAAATTGTTAACACAACTTAAAATGTTATTAAAGAGATGGAAGCAGCGCGATTTCGTTGAATTGAGAATTCGGTTTATAATACATAAATTGAACGCTTCAAACTCTATTGCGCGTCTTGAGTATGGACTTCCGAAAATATATAAGATAGGTTAGCCACTTCGTATTATAATTTCTTCAGTGGGGAGAATATCAAATGCTCCCTCTCTATAATCTAGCCTCTCTTTTAAATGTCATATTACACGACAGTATACCAGTAGCAAACAGTTTTATCAAGAACAGTTTTCATTTAACTAAACGTATTTCTAATCTGACAATCTCTGACAACGAAGTTCTTTTATCCCTTGATGTGGTTTCATTATTTACAAATGTATCTATTGACTTGGTATTTGAAGGCATAGAGAAGAGATAGTATCTCATTGAAAGAAAAATGAACATTTCCAAAAGTAAATTTTTGAAAACGTTGGAATTAGTTCTTAATTCAACAATTTTTAGTTTCAACGACAAATTTTATAAACAGACTTTTGATGTTTCAGTGGGTTTACCATTATCACCCATCGTGTCGGATATTGTCATGCAAGACCTTGAAATGAAAGCATTACAGAGACTTCCAATTACATCATCCTTTTATGTGAGATATGTTGATGATATTGCGTTAGCATATGATGCGTCACACATTGATATATATACATTGGTGATCACCTTCAATTCATTCCATTACAGATTAAAATTTACAACTGAAATAGGTAGGGACAGGTTAGATTTTCTTGATGTCAGTTTAATTAAAAAAGAAAATTCTCTTGTGCAAAATTGGTATCACAAATACCAACCTACTTTTTCTGGTCGCTATCTTAATTATTTTTGTAGACATCTTTTATGCCAAAAAGTGGGAACAATCATTGGTTTAATTGATAGAGTTCTATCTTTGTCCCATCATATTTACCAAGAGAATTTTGGATTAATAATAAAAATTCTTTTAAACAATGAATTCACTGAAACTTATATTTTCTGAAATAAAAAATAAGTTAATAAATAACAATAAATAAAGAGTAAAATAAAAGTCAAACACATTTCTTTAAAAAAGTGTCACACAATTAAAAGAATAAATTACAAATAGAGAAAAGTAAAATTAAAAAAATATATAATAAAATAAAAACTCAATTTAAATACAAATAAATTACAAGTTTCGGCTACCGGATTGAGCCGTTTTCAGACATTAACTTATCGAAAAAAATCGTAGTATAAAATTAATTATCGGAAATGTTTGCATATTCATTGTATTCACAATTCGGGTGAGTCATGATACAGAACTCGACATTATTTACATACGATTGAATAGTCAAATGTGTTTCATATCTCTTGTTCTACACCTACGGATAAGTCAACGGACAATAATAAGGAAAAAATTAATAAGTTTTTCACAATCCCCTTTATACACTTTTATCGAAAAAGATCGGGAAATTTTTTAAAAAAGACTCCTTAATACACATGGCATATAAAGGGATTAATAATCTTAAAAGGTTCATTAGGGGTCATAAAGACGTTCGTCCAAAGCTATCTCATACAGACGTTGTATATAAGATTGATTGTCGAGCATTGTTGTCGAGATTGTGAAGCATCATATGTGCCAAACAGGTAGATGTTTGAAGACACGCATAAATGAACATAAAAATCACATAAATTGGAACACTACACAGCATTCTGTAATAACAGAACATAGATTCAGTCATCAGCATGATTTTGAAAATGTCAAGATTTTAGATGAAGAAAAAGTACTTAATAAAAGATTGATTTCGGAAGCGATCCATATAAAGCAACAGAAACAGAGTTTGAATTTACAGAATGATACGTATTCTTTGGACTCACTATACATGAATTTGTTTACTTAATTGTGACGTTGTTATTACCCTCTTTTGGTCTTAGTTTTATTTGTATTTCAATAACTACTTGACTTTATTATTTTGACTGTCATTGCATAATTTTCGTTTCGTGTGGTTTTTTTTTTTTTTGGACTACACAGCAAATCTGACAATTCGATGAGCGATGTGATTGTACGTAGTGATGCAATGCATATAACTTCGAATTTTATTTTGTGTAAGTTTTATATTATTATTGTATAATGTAATAATTTTGATAATCTTTTATTCATTACATAGCTAATTTGGCATTTGGATAAAGAAGAACGAACTAATTGTCGGGAATCATCAACTTGGAATGTGCGTTAATTATGTAATTTTGATTTATATTTTATATTGATAAAGATCCGAATCAAAAGATTGAAACGTATATCTTATTTGTTTTGTTACATTCACACGAAATATAAAGAATTTTTGTGCATCCGAATAGCTGATGTAGGGTCTGATGAGATTTTTCACTGATAGATTCTTTCGAATCTCATTATATATATTTGTATAACACATTATGTTGAATATTAAAAATATTCAAAAATAATAAATATTAAAATATTCAAACACACATAATACTTAACATAATATATGTGTATACATAAAATATTAAAAATTAAATATTAAATAGATATAGAAAAAGCAGGATTGGCAAGTAACGCGTTATTTGTAACATCGTTACCGTTACATAATAATAACTTAAGTTACTTCTTTTGATAACGCTTGAGTAACGACGTTACATTTTCTTCTGAATAACGTTCATAGTAACGCAGTTATATTTTTGGAGTAATGGTAACGATTTTACTAGTTACTTTTATCGTTACTTTATACTTTATTTCTATTTACGTAAAAGTTTTAATTGTAATTAGTACGTATATACATATATTTATACATATTACATATATATCTATATATTTATTACACAGTTTTTAAGTTTTACTAAAAAAAAAAAATAGAATTTTATCATCTTTTTTGTAGTTACTGCAAGAATCTGCATATAATAGCGTTTTTCATTGGCAGAACTAATGCGCATTCAGTGCACTTTAAAGTGCACAATCGACGCAAAGATGTATGGTTAATAAAAATATAAAGACGAGTTAAGAACGTTCTTCGAAAAATCTATTTTCTTTAGATTTTTTTTGAAACTTACAGAAAAAGCTTGTTTTAATGTTCTGAATATATGCTTTAAAACTTAACCCGAAGTGAGATTAAAAATCGAGATATTCCACTTCAAAGTTGAAGCGACAATTATTATATTAACACATAGGATCCCTATCTAACAATAAAGCTTATTTGAAAGTGGTCTTTTTATTCACTGTAAAAAAGTTTTTCCTAACAATTTTTTGAAATAATGAGATAAAAAACTTGATATCACAAGGGATAATATAAAATTTGTCTGAATATGGCTTTCGGTATTCGTTTTTAAGAAATCATTGAGCAAAGTAAGTAGCTCCATAAAAAAGAATTTTATTTCATATAATTTATATTTATTAGAACACTA